CGAAAAGCCCCCAACAGTAATTAATTTATCCGATAAATGCTAACTTTACAGCAAAAAATACATCTAATACAGTGCTACGATAACAATTATCGCCAAGTAATTCAAGATTTCAATGAAAAATACCCAGGTGTGCATGTGGCGTAGTCGTCTTTACAAAGTTTAGAGGAAGGCGATGAAGTGAAACGACTCGATTTTTCGATTTTTGTTTGTGGATCGGAGGTATGGAACAAAATTTCCATCAACAGATTATGTTTTCGGACGAATCAACTTTTTCTACAAATGGTACTAAATTTCAATAAAACGTTACAAGGCGTTTCAAAGTTACTTATCAAAAATAATTTTTTTGTTAACTAGACCACACGGGACTAAAGGAAGCAACTTACAATAGAGATAGTAGTGTAGTAGTTAAATCTGCTTATTTTGATCTGGCTATCAGGAAACTGTGGTAGCTCCGTAATATTGGGACACCCTGTACAGGCAACACTCATTTTTTTACTTACCTTGTAACTCGAAAGCTATGCCTTTAGGAGAGGTGGATAAAAACTTTTTTTTCGTTAAATTAGTTGAGGAATTATTCCGTATATTATTGGAATGTACTTAAGGTTCACCCAGTCTACAAGTTAATAGACTCTTATCAAAAATAAGTAAATTCTACCTAAAATTAAAAAAATGCACTTGCCATTTTGAAACTCGGTTGAAATTTGTAGTTTCATTTAAGATTAAACAGGATTCCCTCAGGATGACGTATTTTTTACCAGAAGAAAACTTATTTCTTGATTACAATCACAGAAAAAAAAACAGTATTATGCAGTCGGTGTTTTTATTCTAACAAATGTCACATATCACATTAAAATCTATTACTTTTTTAGCAAACATTTATTTATATTTAAAACTCCTTGATTAGTATAGCTGTTACGATGTCAATTGGAACCTGTAAATCTTAAAGCAGGACTGTATACACTTCTCCTGAAATTTCTTCTTATGCTTTAACCATGGCGTGTCTCGTAATTTATACTCGAATAGCAATTCGGTGAGTCCGGTATTGATAAACTAGTCCGCCTGATGTATAAACTAGTCCGCTTGATGTAGAATTGACGGAGGCGCACTGGTCATCAAAGCTAACCTAAATTGGCCCACTAGGTCGTAAATCATGTTTTGCATGGTATTCTATAATTAGTTTGATGTCAAAGGCGGTTACTTGCTTGCCAGTGCCGTGGAGAGCAGTGCTTGGCGCGTTATATGTATTGTTATTATAATACGTATTATATTAATTATTAATTATTTATTAATATTATTATCTGTTCATACCCTTTGAAACGGAAGATAACGAAATAACCTGGGAAAATCCCCAAATAGTCGTGCCGATTTTTGTCGAAAGCGTCAAAACAAACTCAGAGTTTAAAAACAAAGATTTACACGTACAAAGTCAACGTATTATTTTAAATATTCAGAGTGTTTTTGAATGGAGTAGCATAAATGATACCAGTGAATCTACATTTCAAAAGAACACGATCTGCAAAAAATCGCCTTAGTAAAATGTTCACCCCTGAAGAGATATGGGCCATCAAAGTTTCCAAAAAAATTATGAAAATTGGCTGTAATTTGAAAACCGAACGAGGTACAAATAACAAATTTTTTACAGGTTGTTTACTAATACAGATGCGAGTTTTCAACTATTTTTCGAAAATTTTAACCCCTCGAAAGGGGTTGAAATAACCACCCCTCAAGCCATTTTTTGCCATAACTTTTATATTTCGTAAAAACTCGATATCCAAAAATACGCATTAGATAAACTGGTTCTTTTAGAAACTTTTACCTCTCTAGCAATTTTCCTTTAAAACTTTTCGTTTATTAATAAAAAAATAAAATGTATTACCATTCACCTCACACCGTATATGATTGCAATCAATCAAAGAAAAACTAAGTGTGCTGCTGTCATGCCAGTTGTCACAATTAACTCTTCTGTAAGTTGTCACTGTTATCAGCTAAATACTTTTTGGGTGTAAATTAACAAGAATTATGCCAAATTTTACTAATGATGAATATGTGGACATGCTACAAGTGTATTTTGAATGTCGCAAAAACTGTGCTGCGGCAACAAGAGCGTATAATGAGAGATATCCAAATCGTCAAGTTCCCCACAGACAAACTTTTTCGGCGGTAGAACGAAGACTTCGGGAAACTGGAAAAATACAGCCGCATATTGAGGGTACCGGCCGAAGACCTACTGTTCGTACTATTTATCTTGAGGATGCAGTACTTGAAGAGTTTGACGAAAATCGTCAGACTAGTACGAGAAAAACAGCAATGCACTTAAATGTGTCCCATAGTGTTGTTTGGAATATTGTCCATGATAATTTATTATATCCTTTTCACCACCGGCCAGTTCAAGCTCTACTTGAACCAGACATGCATAAGCGAGTTGTTTTTTGCGAATCGTATCTTAATATTCTAAGAAATAATTTGAATTTTGCCTCAAAGATACTTTTCACAGATGAAGCAACTTTTCAAAGACATGGTTTAACCAATATGCACAATCTTCATTCCTGGGCTCATGAAAATCCTCACGAAGTATCTATGACAACATTTCAACATAATTTTAGTTTAAACATTTGGGCAGGAATTGTAGAAAATGTGCTTGTCGGCCCTTTTGTTTTACCTCATCGACTTGGTGCTGTTGAATATTTGCAGTTCTTAAATGAGCATCTACCACCACTTCTGGAGGAAGTACCATTAAATGTACGTCAGGCCATGTGGTACATGCATGACGGGGCTCCTGCTCACAGCACTGTAGTAGTTAGGCGGTGGCTTAATTTAAATTACCCGAATCGTTGGATAGGTCGCGGCAATGAGGCACCTATCTCTTGGCCTGCACGTTCTCCCGATCTAACGCCCATGGATTTTTTCTTTTGGGGACATATAAAAAGTATTGTTTATGCGACCCCAGTTGACAGTGTTGAAGAGCTACAGGAAAGAATATTCGCGGCGTCTGATGAGATTCGCAACAATCCCATAATTTTTGCTCCAGTCCGTAACAACTTTGATAAACGTGTTAAGTTGTGTTTAGAAAGAAGTGGCAATTATTTTGAAAATGTCCTTTAACTAAGTTTGTTCTCTTTTTGATAATAAATTATTCTTAATTTCGTTTACATTATATTTCTATTTAATAAAAGTTTCTGCGACATTCAATTAGTTATTTGTGCAACTACTGTAAAGAGTGTGTATTTGTTGTACGATGCATGAAGTTTGCAGCTCGAGACGAAGTTGAGAGCTGCAATCATGTTAAGTGCAACAAATATGCTTTTTGCACATGTTGCACGCAACATTTTTTCTACGATTGTTTTTATTTCAAATTTTATTTAACAGTATTTTACATAATATTAAAATTTTAACTGACAACTGGAAATTAATTGCGCAAATTGTCAATGTCAGACGTTAGGTACTTATGGATATGCTTAGATTAAACTTGTAATCAATATTTTTTTTGTACTACTGTAAAAAAAGTTAAACTTTTGGCACAGTAGGTAGTGCAATAAGTAGTAAATTTTGCACGATCGTAGAAAAAAACACTTGTAGCATGTCCACATATTCATCATTAGTAAAATTTGGCATAATTCTTGTTAATTTACACCCAAAAAGTATTTAGCTGATAACAGTGACAACTTACAGAAGAGTTAATTGTGACAACTGGCATGACAGCAGCACACTTAGTTTTTCTTTGATTGATTGCAATCATATACGGTGTGAGGTGAATGGTAATACATTTTATTTTTTTATTAATAAACGAAAAGTTTTAAAGGAAAATTGCTAGAGAGGTAAAAGTTTCTAAAAGAACCAGTTTATCTAATGCGTATTTTTGGATATCGAGTTTTTACGAAATATAAAAGTTATGGCAAAAAATGGCTTGAGGGGTGGTTATTTCAACCCCGTTCGAGGGGTTAAAATTTTCGAAAAATAGTGGAAAACTCGCATCTGTATTAGTAAACAACCTGTAAAAAATTTGTTATTTGTACCTCGTTCGGTTCTCAAATTACAGCCAATTTTCATAATTTTCTTTGGAAACTTTGATGGCTCATATCTCTTCAGGGGTGAACATTTTACTAAGGCGATTTTTTGCAGATCGTGTGCTTTTGAAATGTAGATTCACTGGTATCATTTATGCTACTCTATTCAAAAACACCCTGTATATGAATGTTTGAAAAGAGAAAATAGTGAACAATGTGATAAAGAAATTAGGAAACGGATTAGCGAATTAACTAATTGTAAAACATCAAAAAGGACAATTTATCGCGTAATTAAAGAATGAGACTATTACTCACGGTACAAAGGGGAAACGGAAAAATACAAAATTAAAGAATATTGACGATTTTACCAGAGATGTAATACGGCCCACAATTTATAATATGTGAAAAAATAAAGAAAATGAAGGCGATTATCCTGATTATAATTATAAATCTTCAGATATTTACATGTTTTAGTACAATGCCCTTTTAAACATAAAAAACTTGAACAATCGTATGGTAATTATGGAATCAAGACGTATAGTTGCACTTCGGGAAGATTATTTACAAAAAATTAGAAAATATCGCCAACTAAATAGGAATACAGCTCGGAATATAGTATATCTAGATGAGACAGAGCAAAATTTTTCTGGACGCCTATGGATTCTGTAGAGTTTATGAGTTAAATGTTTTTATACGGTTCCAACTGACATCGTAACAACTATACTCATATTGTTATTTTATAGTAACATTTTCTAACAGCAAAACATACATTACCTTCTTACACTTTTTCTGAAAAGTAAGCCCTTAATACCCAAAATAAAGGAAATAGTAATACTTTCATAAGTTTGAGAACATACAGGAAATTTTATTAAGAAAAAAAGTGACGTTTCTCTGGCTCAATCCTTAACTTATGCTCTGAGATTCAGTAGTTCTAAAAATTGTATATGTTACTGATAAAAAATAAACATTACTATTACACCCGTTGTAAAATTCTAGATCGATAGACGATTTATCTCCCGAATACGGCCCCTTGCCTTTCGTAAAAAAATTGAAAATCCTAAACGAGCGGCAGAAGCTAGAGGAACTAGAAACTGTCATGAAAACAAGAAGTTTCTCCCTCGATATCCCGGACAACCCGAGCGTCGATGGCGACACGTTAACGCGCTCCCATTCGGAGGGCTCCACCATGCACCAGGACCAACACCGCGTCGATAAGAACCTGTTGACGACGCCCCTCACTTCCAGTCCTCTGCACTCCTCGAACGAGTCCAACGAGACGATAGAGCGCAGGAATCTGAAATCTATCCTGAAGAAGTTGTCGGAGGATACGAAGGAGAAGGAGCCGAGGGAGAACGCGATGCCGGAGAAGGTCGATTCCACGGAATTTAGAAGGTAAGTGCTTTAAAGTGTTCAGTTTTTGAATTTATCATTGATCAGGTTAGATAAAATCGGTTCACCGAGTTTTTTTAAATGCAGAGACAGTTAGTCACTGACAAATACTTACGTGTGGAAAAAAATTAAGGAGCTTGTTCTTCGTTGAAAGTTACGGAAAGTATTTCAAATCACAATTATGACATATTAACATATAAAGGTAATTCATTTATTTTTTTCCAATTTTTTTTTTAATATACAGGGCGATTCACAAATGTTGACCAAAAATTAAACCTCGTTGGTGAATTTTAAGGGTCTCTCCTATAAAGTTTTTATCTAGGAAAATATTTTTAATATTTTTAAATAATTTAAAAACTAGTAAGTGAAATAATTTGAAATTGGGCACATGTATTTATGTAAACATTGTCTAAAATCTGAAGGCTTTTCCTAAAATTTATATGCTCCAGTGCTAAATTAAATAGTACGCCACTGCGTTACGGTAACAACCATGATATTTTCGGATTCGTCTTTCAGTTTTCTACAAATTACTACCCTCTTATGTTTTTCGGAAAAAAGACAGATTTTCGAATAAAACTTAAAAAATGAACGTACTAGTTTTTAAATTATTTAAAAAAAATTATTATTTTTTTTTAAGTTTAACACCCTATATCTTTTAACGAGGCGTCCTAGGTAAAAACTTTATAGAAAATACTCCCCTTAAAATTCATCAAAAAAATATGAGGTTTCATTTTTGATCACCATTTGTGAATCACCATGTATACACTAATACAGGGTGATTCAGTCATAATGTCATTAATTTTAAGAGCAGATAGAGAAAAATGAGTATAATACGATGGCGTGATTAAAAAAAAATTTAAATGCATATTTAAGCTGAAAAAAAATATTTTCAAATCATTATTTAACCCCCTTTTCAGGCTGTTACTGACCGGCTGACGTCACAATATTATGCACGGCTACGATATGAACCTATGAACAACGCGCCCTAGATGCAACGTTGCCATATTTATATATTTTCGCTCATATAAAGACAATAAATAAACGGTTTTGCTCACGTCAACCAATAATAATTTAAAATGCTATAAATTATTTTTTATTTATGCAATCAACATATTAAATTGTTATTGTTGCCCAGCAAGAACCTCGAGGTCTGAGCATGCCTTGCCAAAAATCAGTTTTTATTAGCATCATAATTTTAATATTTTAACAACATTTGCTGTAAGCCCGAAGGGGAAGGTTTTCAAACAATTCTACTAAAAATTAGTAACGCGGCCCATTCAGATGTTCAGGTAGAAAATGCGGCCCAATTAAACGATCGCCATTGACATTGACACCGAATCTCCTCTGAAAGCTATACCACCGACGAGTAGTGTGCGGGTAGTAGTGTGTTTCATCTGACCAAATGTGACTATTATGGCTGCAAAGAAATTAGCTGTTTCACTTTAAATAAGATTTAATATTGAAGTTACAAAACCCCAAAAGTTCAAATAATTTAAATTTCATTTCATAACCATTTCAATTTCGTTACAGAAATAATGTCATAAAAAACCAACACTCACTAGATAAATTATAAAGAGAGGATAAATTGTATGCAGTATTTAAATATTGACTGCAATTAGAAGAGAGACTTGTATATTCCATAAAAAAACAATGGGACGGAGACAAATAAACAACTCGGTACGTCGTGTTTCCGACCTAGGGTAACCTGTGGTTCAGTAACCTTTTAACCCAGTTTTAATTTGCACACGTGCACCATATAGTCCAGGAGCCAGATGTGCAAACAACTTATTCTTAAATATTTGACCTCTTGAATCCAAAGAAACTTGGTCGCAAAGCCTGAAAGTGGTCAGTTTAATTGTTATCAACAAATTAAATGTTTAAATGGCTGTAAAAAGTTTATTTTTATAGCTAGTACAATTTATTCGCTAATAGTTACGTTTTCTCATAACAAATATGTATTTTTTTGGAAATTAAAAAAAATTAACTTTAACCAAAGTTATTGCAAATTTAGTGCAAATTTCTTACATTTTCCGTCTCCGTGCGCACTAATTTTACCATATCTGGTTCTAAGTTCCATTTATTTATTAATTTATTTAATAATTAATGGCATCTTAGAAAGTTGTGAAATTTCAACGAAAATGCCGGTTTTAATTGTTTATAAGGTTTTTTTTATTATTCAACTTCGACGAAAAGCCAAAAAAGTTACCGGATATTGTTCTTTGCATTCTAACAATCAAGCAAGGCATGAAATCATTGTTAGGATGCGAGGAACAATAACCGGTAACTTTTTTGGCTTTTCATAAAAATTGAATAACAAAAAAAGTTTTATAAACCAATAAAGCCAACATTTTCGTTGAAATTCCACAACTTTCTAAGCTGCCATTAATTTTTAAATAAATTAATTAATCAATGGAACTTACCTATCTTGTAAAATAAAGTTTAAGTTTTAAAATGAGATGTGCGTCTCAATCCGTCCAATTGAACCAGAGATATGGTAAAATTGGTGCGCGCAGAGACGGAAAATGTAATATATTTGCACTAAATTTGCAATAACTTTGGTTAAAGTTAATCTTTTTTTAATTTTCAAAAAAATATATGTTTGTTGTGAGAAAACGTAATAATTAACAGATAAAAAATTGTACTAGCTATAAAAATAAACTTTTTACAGCCATTTAAACATTCAATTTGTTAACAACAATTAAACTGACCACTTTCAGGCTTTGCCACCAAGTTTTTTGGTTTCGAGAAGTCAAAATACTTAAAAATAAGTTATTTGCAGCCGTGGAATTCTGTTTGGCTACGGAAACCTATCTGGCCCCTAGCCCCTAGACTAATACGAGTGTAGTAGCAAAAAGTTGTCGGTCTTTTATCAAAGGAAAATCGTATCAACAAATTTAATTTAAAATCTAAAATACCGGCTGTTTTCGTAGTAGCTGTAGTCGCCCAGGTGCATCGAGTGTACGAAGTGGTCGGTTATATGTCAAATACTAACCTGGCGAGCTTGAACCTGAACTTGGCAACGCTGTTCCTTTAGCCGACAACTGTTCGTGACATTACGTTACAAAATTTTCCGAGCATCCGGGCATCGGCAGGGCAGCCCTCGTAGCGGGAGTTATGGGTTGATTTCCTTCATTTTTAAAAGTCGAGTAAAAAATTTTTTTTTCCGATTTTCTGTCTTTATTAAGCCTTCCGAATACGTGGTTAAAATTAATGACATTATGACTGAATCACCCTGTATACATTTTGAGTTCAAATATACATGTAGGAGAATATATACACGTTTTATTTTTAAGAACAAATAATGTTGTTAATATTATAAAAATTTGTTACATAAAATAATTCGATAAAACAAACAATTTTATCCCAAAATTGTTTGCTATAATAACACAGCCCCACAAAAAAGTGGGAGATCCGCAAGACAAGACCATGGTATCTATATTTTTTTGGGGGTCGCTGACTCCGAATCCGGTGTCCGTTTGACCCAATCAGGTCTAGGTTAAGGTCAATTCTAGGTCAAATGTAGAGAATCAATAGCTAACAAAGTAAACCTACATATCTATACATTTTTGGAAATGCTGAATCCAAATTCGGTGTCGTTTAATCCAGTTAGCTTTGGGTTAAGGTTAGTTCAAGGTCAAATATAGAGTATCAATTGGCAACAAAGTAAAACTACATATCTATACGTTTTTGAGGTCATTGGGAACACAGATCAATCAACTTAAAGATGTGCATAAAAGTCTATTTGGTTTTGAACCCCAAAGTGAAGAATTGATTGGGTTTGAGGAGTACGGAGAAAGATTTCGACTAAAGTTTACGCTGATTCAACACAGGGCAACAATTTTCACACCCAAAAACTAGACCTCACTTGCCCGAAGGTTTTTAGTATGCAGAATCCAAATCCGGCGTCAGAATTGCTCCTATAAGTCACGTTTTCGAGATATCCTAACCTAAATGTCCAAAAAAACAGGTTTTTTGCTATATTTGAGCTTATTCCACACAGCAAAAAAAAATATTTTTAAACGTATCTTGCCCTCTAAAACTACCACTCTTACCCTTCAAAACGTTTTTTTCAGATTTAAAAAATCTTTTTTATTCGCGGAGATATCATTGAATGAAGTTAGGTAATTTAGCGTTTTCATAACAGTGGTACTAAAATTGAAAAAAGTTCTTCAGAAAGTGGAAGTAATATATTTACATATTTTTTGGGTCGCCCAATCCGAATATGACATCCAAATTATTCTATCACTTTAGTATTCTGAAACTTCCTAACCTAAAACTGCACGATTTTATGCTGAACTATTGGTATTATTAACCTCTATAACTGTAACACGGAGCCATTTAATATAGAAGCACGTAACCTGCAAACACTACACTCCCAACAGGTTAACCTAAGGGCACAATAATCGCTACCATAATAACCACTAAATGCACACGACAGGTTAACCTAAGTACACAATAACCGGCAAGGGCTAAACTCCAGACATGTTAACCCAAGTGCACAATAACCTGCGAGTGCTACACCCCAGACAAGTTAATCCCCAGACATTAGTTAACCCAAGTACACAATAACCTGCAAACGCTAAACCCCAGACAGGTTAACCAGAGTGCCTCAACAGGGGGTTTAGCACTCGCAGGTTATTGTGCACTTGGGTTAACCTGTCTGGGGTTTAGCATTTGCAGGTTATTGTACACTTGGGTTAATCTGTCGTGGGCAGGTAGTGGTTATTGTGGTAGCGATTATTGTGCCCTTAGGTTAACCTGTTGTGGGTGTAGCGTTTGCAGGTTACGTGCTTCTATGTTAAATGGCTCCGTGTTACAGTTAATCGATAGTTCAGCCTAAAACCGTTGATTTTGCAGTTTTAGGTTTGAAAATCTCAGACTCTTAAAGGATATAATAATTTGGAGGTCAGATTCGGATTGGGCGACCCAAAAAAATGTAAATATATTACTTCTGCTTTCTGAAAAACTTTTTTTAATTTTGGTACCACTGTTATGAAAACGCT